TTAATTTTCCCTTTGGGGCCCCGCCCTGGCCCCAGGGGTCGGGGTAGGAATCTCAATTTTACAATTTGAAACCATCTACCTCCAAGGATAATTCTCACCAAGTAAAAATAATTTCCTACAGAAAGTTGTCAAAATATACCCAAAAGTGTTATTTCCCTATATAAACTATAGTAAACTTTACCCCCTCCCCAAGGGAGAACGGATAGCTCGGGGGTCCTGAAATTTACAATTTAAGTAAAGCCCCTGATGATCTTTCTTTCCACGTAGAGAAAATCACTGTAGTACCTGTGAGTCTGGAGAAGAAGATTTTTGAAATATTGGATAATTTTCCCTTTGGGGCCCCGCCCTGGCCCCAGGGGTGGGGGTAGGAATCCCAATTTTACAATTTTGAAGCCTCATCTACCAAGGATGATTCTGACCAAGTTTGAAAAAAATCCATCCACTGGTTTTTGAGAAGAAGTTGAAAATGTAAAAGTTTACGCACGACGCACGACGGACGACGGACGACGGACGAAAAGCGATTGGAATAGGTCACTTGAGCAAAGCTCAGGTGACCTAAAAATGATAAGATATTCACTACTGCAGCTTACAGAATTGTCAAGGCATCAATGAGGGTATTATGATATTGAACTATTCCTCTTCATAATTATGTAAACTTGTAAATATGTAGACATTACCGGTATTTCTTACTGTCTATCATATTACATAAGAGCGATTTGTCATGAATAATGTGTATATGAGTGCATGCTTATGGTCATGTTTACGGTTTTCTATCCGTCATGGAAATTATGGATCATACATATTCATGATCTGTCCTCCAATTCACTCTGGCATGCATGACAGTCTTTTCTACCGTCAATAAATCTTTTGAAATGGCTGAAATTATGTAATCTTTTTTATCATTAATCACATGCAGGAAACAGGGGAGAATAAAATACTGTTAAATTCTTTGGATGAAAGTGAACTCATAGGATGGAGAAAGGTAGGGGAAGGGAACTTTATTTTCCTATAAACTGTTTCCAGATAGAAATGGCTTTCACCAAAAAGCAAACAATTTTAAGGCAGCTATTTTAACAAAGTAAAATAAAATATTTCATAGAGGTACCTTAATTCACAAGAATGTACATTTTTTTCCATCTTGCACAACAAAACAGATCAAATTACTTACAAACAATATATCTACAGAATAATTTAATTCACTGAAAATGGTAATTGAAATAAAAAAATTGTCTTGCACAACAAAAATTAGCAAATTATTTATGACCCAGGAGTCAACAGCAGCTGTTTTACAAATTTCAAAAATCAGTGAAAATTAAAAACTTATATAATTTTGATGTCATCATGTTTTACAGATTAGAATGATTTTAAGCAACAACTTCATCCGTCTTATAAATCCCATCAGGACATTTCTAATGTGTCCGCTGTCAGATTACAAACAGCCTATATGAAGGATTAATGTTTCAGGCAAAAGTTTGAAACTTTCAAAACAGAAAAGCAACCTAATTGACTTTGCAAAAACACAGCACATTATCACACAAAAAAAGAAAAAAAAAAATCAAATGTAGGAAAACTAAAATGACATTTTTTTAACATTAAGACTTGAAACAATATTAAACAAGAGGCCCATGGGCCTTAACGGTCACCTGAGTCTACAGTATTATTTTTTTTGTTGAAATATGTACCAATTTGAGTAAAAAATAGTATAATGTTAACTTAACTTTGTCAGGACCATGAGCTGATCATTCCTAGACCAATTTTAAGTGAGATCGGCCTATTAGAATTTAGTAGCAAAATAGCGGCCATGGCAGCCAAATTGTATTTCTGATTGACCCGAAAAATA